TTAGAGAATAAGTTCTTGTGTTTGTGGTATAATCTTGGGGTTATGTAAAGAAAAAATAGGGGTTAAAGAGAGGGTTGGACAATCTGTTGTCCAATGATGTTAATCCATTGTTATGTTCTCAAGTGTCTGTTAAATGAGATCTTTTAGTGGGTTAATGTTTATAATCTGCTGTTGATGAATTGTGTTGATTAGCTAGCTCTTTGTTTCTTGGCTTTCATGTACTTTTACCATTTTTATAAGTATATGCTTTGAGCATTTGCCTTTGAGAAAATTGCAGAAGAAGTTTAAAGGTAAAGGGAACAAAAATAAAAGATGGAATTTTTGGAAACTGATGCCCTTTCTGCTGCTATCTGGTGTGATCACATGAAAAGTCTTGAAAGAATTGAGATGTGATCATGTGAGCATTGAAAAAGAGAGAGAGAGAGAGAGAGAGAGAGAGAGAGAGAGAGAGAGAGAGACCCATGTTTTGCGGTGATAATTCAATCAAAGTTCTAATTCTAGAAACAAGATATATTTTTGCTTGTTTGCCTGCACATTCACAATCTTTTGTAAATGTGCTCACGAGTGACATGAATAATATATAGCTCTGTTCACATTAAGCTGCAATAAACAACAACATTTTCTTTCCCTTTGATTTAATTTATACTAAGGATTTGTTCACATTGAGCTTCGATAAACAAACACAACAATTTCTTTCCCTTTCATTTAATTTATACTGAAGAATCGAAGCATAACTCTAGAGAGTTGTTCTCTTGTCCACGGTAGACACGGATTAATATGTCTATCAACTACTGATGTAACAAGATATAAATAACATACACGGTGGGTATAGTATCAAAAAATTATGAGATATTGACACGTGGCTAGTGAACACATCTTAATGAATCAAAGATGGTTTGTCGGTCACAATTTCCGCATAACTCAAATGCAATGAAACAATTTTGCTCTTATATCTATCACAATTTCAAATTTCAAAATTAACTTAAAGCACACTCAATTATCTATGCACATTTATTATATGTGAAAGAGTGATCACTTCAAAGATTTGGCCTTTAATGATTTCTTACCTCTATATATGACTAATGTGGGATTGAAAAACTAAAAGAGAAAATAGAAAAGAAAAGAAAAAAAATTCAAGTAATCAGCAAATCACATTTCTCCACTTGGGGACTCTTGATTTCTAGAAGAGCACATGGGTGGCAAGTGGGCAACTGCATTAACAAGATCAATAATATCTAAAATTGACATTTGGGGGAAATTGAAATCTGAGAATTGATCACTTGTTGAGACTTGTGAGGCCAATATTAGCAGAGGCCCCTGACTGCAGGCTGCAGCAGCTTATCTGGTTTTTGGCATGTTGGCTTAATAGCAAAGGACAATAAAAAGCTTTAAATGCCTAAAGTTATTTTTTGTGGTTTATTAGGGACCAGGCTTTGATAGAAATGTGAACAACTATTGATTGTCATGGTACAGTTCTTTTTTCCATTATTGTTGGAAAAAGATTAATGGCCACCTAACATAGCTGTATTACAAGTTAGGTCATACAATGTATATGTACTATTGGAAATAAATTTCTGATGGT